CTAATTCTTTCACTAAATATCCGAGTACCTATGTGCCAGATGAGGATTAAAAAATTTACAAAACAGATAAAAATTGCTTCATGTATGTAGGTATTAAAATCTATATGTCTTACCATGGTAATGCATTTTTTTTAAATGGTGATAGAGCTCTGCAGTAATTTGAAAACCATCATCCTAAGGTATATGTTTGTCCCCAAAGTCCTGTCAATAACTGCAGTTATGTTTCAAGAATGAAAATGATGTTTCATTTGATGTTACAGAGCTTCCAGAAGGAAGAAAGTTAATTGAGTTCAGAGCAATTTTTATATTCTTTATCAAGGGCATTCCCAAGACACCCCCCAAAAATGTAATGTTACTGATCATCAGTTTCCCTCTATATACATCCTCCTGATTTGAGAAGGAAAAGAATAGCTTATCTAGTTTGAATTCAGAAGTTCTGTAACTGTTGCTGATCCTGACTTTACAGAATAACCAATATAGATGAAATAGGCAAAGATAATGAGTAAAAGCCTTAAAACAATTCAACTTTCAAGGAAGACAAAATCCAGTAAGAGCTACTGACAAAGCCTTATTTCAATAACAGTTTGAGGCAAAAATATAGGAAGTAAAGGAACATACTGAATTTCATAAAAGAAAGGGATTATGACAGAAAATGTTTACTCAGTAAGTACTCAGCTAAATTAACATCAAGGTGTCAAAGAAAACAAAATGCACTCTTGCAATTCTAAATAAAAAGAGAAAATAGCTTTATTTTATGGCTGGAGAAAAAGGAAGAACACTAAGTAGCTGCCTTCAGCAAGGTAAACATAAGGTCTTAGAAGACGCTAAAAAAGCAACGTAGCCTGCTCCCTCCCTCTCTTCCCGACCACTCAAAGAACATAGGTTTCCAGTTGTTAGGACCTGATCAGCTTCCTTATGAGGAAAGTAAGTAAAAGGTAATGAAGACAAGTCAGACTTCTCTAGCCTGTTATCCTAATATAATTTTTTTGGCCTATTATCTAATACAACTAAATCGCTTGCTCTCAGGTTTTGCTACATTCAAGGATTCAAGTACCCAGTTCCAATGTTCCTTTCTTATCCATGTACTGACAATCAATTCCTTAATAGCCAGCACATGTAAGTGATTTGATATTAATTTTCTAAAGAAAAGAAAAGGTGAGTGGATGCCCAGAGGAGGGAGTTCACTAAATGATAAGAGAGAAAGTATACAGAGAGGGAACACTAGAAATACCAGAGACATTTTATGCTTTTGCCTCACAGGCATGTTCTGTCCACCTTCGAATGTATCTAGACAAGTATTACTAGCAGCAATAGTCAGAACTGCAGAAACAGACAGCTTAATGGGACTACCAATTTTTAAAATAATGATGTAACCCAACCTGGTTTGGCATGATTCATAAAGATGTGTTTTAATACAGTGGACCTCATTAAGGATACTCCATCCCAAAATACTTCTTAGTCAATACATTAGTATAATTACACAGCTTAACTAAGCTTGGTGATAAGAGATCTTGAAAACAATATAATTTTAATTGTAATGCAATTTTAAGAGGTTACCTTCTACAAAAATACAACACAAGAATAGTTAATAAATATCACAACCTAGCACTTTTTTAAATAAATGTATTTTTATGCCATATGGTCTCATTATCCCATATTACCCCATATAGTAATAGAAAGGAACATCAGGGAAATATAAATGCTCAGAAGTAAACATTTAATGTCAAAGTATAAGCACATTTGGTAAATATTTAATAAGCTGTCATTTACCAGAATATCTCATTTTGAGCAACTGTAAATACAAATATAGGACGTGAAATTTATTCACTTCCCAACATAATTTTAAAAATTAAGTCTACACTCTATGTTCAAGATATTTGATAACAAGAATTAAAAAGGGAGAAACAACCTAATATAAAAAAATTTTTTTACTTAAAATCACAGTATATCTGATATGCAAAATGTTTTGCTATACTGCAAAGTTAAAAAATATTAGAAAACCACATACATTGTATTATTCAAACATAAAGAGCATACGGATATACACCAAAATGTTTATAGTAATTATAACTTAGTGGCAAGATTTCAGATAATTTCTAAAAACTTTCTGAACTTATAATTTTCTAATTTTTCAGTAATGAAAGTGCTTTCCCTTTAAGAAACTTTTTAAAACCTGTATTTTACTGTCAAGTAAGGTAATTCTTGAGACTAAAATGTGTCATTTACACATGAACTTTTTACATTTCTTTCCATGCACTTGACAATTGTAAGATACCTCTTTAAGTCCATATAAGGAAGACAGTTCAATTAAAACACCATAGTACATTTTTGTTTCCACTGAGTTAACAAATACCAACTACAAATTTTAAATTATTTCTTGGAGGAATTTATACTACCATAACATTGGTATCTATATTCAAATGAGATTCATCTTTAATCATTTACTCTCCCCTTCCCCAAATACATTTATTATAAGCTCTTACAAGAAAATACGAAGGAAAAACTAGTATACATCACTAACCATTAAAACCTGGGTGGAGGAGGCAGTGAGAAAACACTTCTAACTAATGAAAATTAGTTAAGAGTATCCTTATGATTTTAAGAGACAGAAATATGCTTTCCAATTATTGCCAATTTAAACCTGAATTCATCTAGCCTAGCGGTTCTTAAGCATTGATACATGAGAACCGCCCAGGATGCGTGCCAAATACAAAAACTCATGGCCCTAATTCTCACCTACTGAATCAGAATCTTCAGAGGGTAAAGTCAAACAATCTAGCCCTTTCAAATAAGATAGCAGACACTGTACTTAAGAAAAGCCTTCTCTATATCATGGCAAACTGTTCTAAGAACTCTGAAACAAAGTTCTCAATGAAAACAATGTTATAATAAGAGAATTACAAATTTTATACTCCATACCAGTTAATTTATCCATTCTTCTAGATACAGTTCAACATCACACATGCACTAGAGTAAAGCAAGCCTACAGGCACCTGTGCCTGGTAAGACAAAGGCATATCCGATTCATGGAAAAAATAGACAACAGATGTGACCTCTAGTATTTATCCATTAAAAACAATGTATCCTAAAAATAAATTTCCATGTCAACGGAACAAAGCTGTTTATAAATACGAAGGAATGTGGAGGTGCAGGGAAGACAAGAGGAAGCTTCAGCAAGTTAAGTACCAAAAGCCAGGAAACAAGGCAGAATGAATGGCAACTGGGTACAAGGAAAACAGAATAAACTAGGAAATGGAAGAAGGGACGATCCTTAGAATCCAAAAAGTTGGGGGAAATGAACAGATATTAGAGGAAACTGATCTGGGTAGAATGCCAACTTAGAAGTAAGTGGAAAGTGGTGTAATTTTTTAAGAAAGAATTTTAAAAATGAGAAATTTAGATGAGATCAAATGATGGTACAGAACACATCCAGAGCATAGATGGAAGTGGTATAAGAGGATGAAAAACAAACATTAATGTGAATAAACTGATACTGAATACAGCAAGCATACTGAATGAATCTCCAAAGTAAAGATGATGAAGCAGGAAAAAGAGAACTGTGTAGACAGAAGAAAGGAGGAGACGTTGTAAGAATTGGGAAACAAAATATAAGTACAGTAGCAGGAAGGAAAGAACTTTGAGCAAAGTCAACGGAGTAAGTCACGTTATCTAATCAATAACTGTAAAGCACAGTTATTATACCATACATTATCTCATTATTTGTAACGTATAATGTATCTTATTTTATGTAATAAAATACCAAATACTAAACATAATAAATTTTATGTAATAAAAACCTAAGTGTAAATAAAGTAATTTGACAAGGCGATAAGAGGCTGAATAATGCAAAAGCAGGCTGAAAGAAGCAAGGAGTAAAGAGGAAAAAGTAAAAGAAAAAAAATTGGGACAAAAAGGAAGACAACCGAAAGAAATTAAACAAACAACAACAACAAAATGGACAGGAGTAAACAAATAGGTGTGAATGTACCATGGAAGACTAAAAAGTGCCAGTAGTGCAAGTGAAACCTGATGGAATCTTGACGGCTTCAGGATTCCGAAAGCAACTAGCTCCAAAGCGTCCAGGAAGATTTGTGACGATAAAAAAAAAAAAAAAAAGATAACAATATCAGGGAGCGGTGGAATGAAGTAGAGGGCCTCAAGAGGACTAGGGTAAGACAACTGCAAAAATGGTCTTAAGTACAAGCTGAGGTTAGAAGGCAGGCAGGTCTGACCACTGGCAAAGGAGCGGGGCGGCAGATAGGAATGGGATGGGGGTTACCAGTCAGCAGACAGAGCACTGACAAACATTAGGAACCGGGAGCGTGAGACTAGGATGGAAAAAAGAACGGAAATAGTGGCATTTAGGATTGAAAAAGTAAAGACTAAATCAAAACCATCCTTTGGTTAAACAGGTGAAGAGAAATCTACCTCCCCCCCAAATAAGTAGAGAAGTGGAAGGGAAGGCAGTGGCCTGAAAAGGGGGACAGTCGGGGAGAGTAGAGAAGGAATGATGCGCCCATCATCACCATGACCATGTAATAATAACTACACACAACATTAACTCGGGCTGAGGTCCGGGCCCCGGCTACTAACCTACATCTCCCACCCGGATGCCGCCGCCAGCCTCCCAGCCCCCCAACCAAAATAAAGAAAACATGTAGGAGATGCGAGGCTGACTACCTTCAGCCAGCCGTGACCTTCTCGGACCAACCCTGAGTCTCGCCCCCTATTGATAGCCTCCTGCTCAACCACCGCTGCCCGAACCTCTCCGTCCCCAAGTGAGGGCCAGGGAAACCCCCCTGGGCCATTGTGTGTGTTTACGTAGCGAGGAGCTGCATGACGGAGAGGGTCAGGGGGGAATGCTCGTCTCCCAGCCCGCAGAGCCCAGAGGAGAAAGTGGTTGAGGGCACCAGAGCCCCCATCGCTACCTCCTTTCCCCAAATAAACACCATCCAGCCGAGCCCCGAGACGGGAGGGGTGTAGGGAGCGCCGGCACTCACCTCCTCGGGAATGGCAGGGTCCGCAGCCGAAGAGGCCGCAGCGCCGGCCTCGGGCTCCATGTCCCCGTTGAACAGAGCCTGGCCCTGCTCCGCGCCGCCACCGCCGCTCAGCGCCGCCATCTTATAACCGAGAGCCGGGCCTGAGCGACCGCTGCTGGGCG